ATTTTATAAACCCCCCCCCTCCCCCTAAGGACCCTAATGTAATTAATAAATGGCCCCTTATAGCATTTTATGACATTTTTTACTCTCTAAATCTGAATTAGTAAAAATGTTTACTAACTTGAATTAGTGACTCGCTTTTTGCTTATGAATTAGAAAAATTTTACTAATTATTTGTAACTTTTACTAACAATTAATAAAATTTAACTAATTCTAAAGCAAAAAGTGAGTCTCTCTTAAATTTTACTAATTGTTAGTAAAAGTTACTAATAATTAGTAAAATTTTACTAATTCATAAGCAAAAAGTGAGTCACTAATTTAAATTAGTAAACATTTTTAGTGATCATAAAATAAAATAATATTGATTAATTTTTTTGTTTTATTTATCAATTAGAGATAAATAATTATAATTTATTGAAAATTACAATTACTACACTGAGAAAAATGTTTAGTCAGAGCAACCAAAATTTGGTTGGGCCAACAAAAAAATTCTGTTGGTATTTAAGCAAACAAACTATTTGTTTGAGTCAACCAAAAATTTTGGTTGAATTTTTTTTGTTGGCATACCAAAAATGTTTGGTTAGCTTAACCAAATTTTTTTTGTAAAATTAAAAATTTTATTCTACCTTATCTCTTTTCTGTTTATTTTTTTTATTTATTTCATTATTTATTTATCAATTTAACATTGAATTTATATTTATCCAATTGAAATATTTATGGACTTTGAAAAATCTCATCATCGCCTGGGATCGAACCTCTGTTTTAAAACTAAAGGTCGGGAGCTCTGACCACTGGACTACCCATCCTTGTGAGAGATTTAAGCTAACTGTTCTCTTAAGCTATGAGCTGAGAGCGAATCAAACTATTTGGTCGTCGCAACCAAATTTTGGTTAGGACAACAAACGATCATTTGGTTTCTTAGACCAAACTATTTTGTTGTGTTAAATAAATTATTTTATTGTCGTAACTAAATTTTGGTTGGAATTTAAAAATGTTCAACCAATTAATTTTGTTGGCCTAACCAAATGTTTGGTTGAGATAACTCTACGACTTTGTTTCAGCCAACCAAAATTTGGTTACAAGAACACTAAATTTTTTTTCTCAGTGTATAAAGTCGAGCAAATTACCATGGCCCTGGTCGGGTCCCGACCAGGATTCCAGATCGACAAAATTAATCGTTTGTGGTTTTTAGGGGTGAAAACAATCCCTAAATGAAAAGTGACAAGATATCTTTTAAAAATTATTAATATTTTATAAAACTTGGTATCTGGGGGTTTTCGGGGTCACTGATTATTAATCTGATGTCAGATTTTCAAAATTCAAAATGGCGGATCCAATATGGCGATCAAATTTTTAAAAAGTTATTAATTTTGCTTCCTCGTGGAGGAAGCTATGTAGTCCTTTCGTTTATAAAATTTTTAAAAATGGTGAAAACAAATTTTCCTCTATATAGAAACATGTTATATGAGATCCTGATCAATTGTCCGGATGTATGTATGTGTGTGTGTATGTGTGTGTGTGTGTGTGTGTGTATGTGTGTGTGGATAGTTTTTGTGAACACGATATCTTTAACAGGTTTTAATGGATTTGGGTAAAATTTGGTAGGCTTATTTAACACATTAATCTCTCAAAAATGACGAGAGGATTTTTAAAAATACCCAAAAAAAAAAATTTTATCGTCTTTTTTCCAAAATTTTTTTTTTAATTGAAAAAATTTTTAAATCGAAAAATTTAAGGTAATATATAATATAATCGTCTTCTTTATGTCAAGATGAATCGATTGATATATATAAAGTATAGATTTGATTGAAATTTAAAGAATTAATGAAAGTTAAAAAATCAAAAATTCTCATTTTAGCTAAAAAATGATGTGTTTGATTAAATTCAAGTTTATATATGAAATAATTTTATTCCTTGCATTGAAACAAATCAATTAGTATATAGAAAGTATACATTTGAATAAAATTAAAAAAATTAATGAAATTTTAGAAATAAAAAATTTACGTTTTAGCTAAAAAATTGTGTTTTTATTTAAATTCAAGTTTAAACATAAAATAATTGTATTCCTTGCATTGAAACGAATCGACTGGTATGTATAAAGTATACATTTGCGTTAAATTAAAACAATTAATGAAAGTTAAAAAATAAAAAATTTACATTTTAACAAAGAAATTTTGTGTTTATTTAAATTCATGTTCAAAAATAAAATAATTGTATTCCTTTTTTTAAACTTTCATTAACTCTTTCAATTTAAATAATAATAATAATAATTTAAATATATATCATACATACCAATCGATTTATTATAATGCAAGGAATGCAATAATTTTATGTTTAAACTTGAATTTAAACAAACACAATTTTTTTATGTATATTAATTTCAGTGTTACTGCTTCCTCCATGAGGAAGCAAATTTTTTGCATCATATAATGAGGAAGCAAAATGTTCATGAAATGAACATAAAGGACACCCTACTTGTTTTTTTTTATATCCGCCATTTTGAATTTTAACAATTTAACATCAGATTCGTCATCAGCGACCCAAAAAACCTCTAGATATCAAGGTTTAAAAAAAATTTAATAACTTTTTAAAATTTTGACCGCCATATTGAATCCGACATTTTGAATTTTGAAAATCTGACATCAGATTAATAATCAGCGACTCCGAAAACCCCCAGATACCAAGTTTTATAAAATATTAATAATTTTGCTTCCTCGTGGAGGAAGCTATGTAGTCCTTTCGTGTATAAACTTTTTAAAAATGGTGAAAACAAATTTTCCTCTATATAGAAACATGTTATATGAGATCCTGATCAATTGTCCGGATGTATGTATGTGTGTGTGTATGTGTGTGTGTGTGTGTGTGTGTGTGTGTATGTGTGTGTGGATCGTTTTTGTGAACACGATATCTTTAACAGGTTTTAATGGATTTTGATAAAATTTGGTAGGCTTATTTAACACATTAATCTCTCAAAAATGACGAGAGGATTTTTAAAAATACCCCAAAAAAAAAATTTTATCGTCTTTTTTCCAAAAATTTTTTTTTAATTGAAAAAATTTTTAAATCGAAAAATATAAGGTAATATATAATATAATCGTCTTCTTTATGTCAAGATGAATCGATTGATATATATAAAGTATAGATTTGATTGAAATTTAAAGAATTAAAGAAAGTTAAAAAATCAAAAATTCTCATTTTAGCTAAAAAATGATGTGTTTATTTAAATTCATGTTTATATATGAAATAATTTTATTCCCTGCATTGAAACGAATTGGTTGGTATATATAAAGTATAGATTTGATTTAAAATTTGAGAATTAATAAAAATTGAAAAATCGAAAATTCATATTTTAGCTAAAAAATTTTGTGTTTTTTTTAAATTCAAGTTGATGAATAAAATAATTGTATTCCTTGCATTAAAACGAATCGATTCGTATATATAAAGTTTATGTTACACTCAAAATTAATTAAAATTTTCTTTATTTTTCAAAAAATTTAATTAATTTAAAACATTTTTAACTCGAAATTTTTTAAATCAATCAATTGAATTGGACAAATTCATTGCTTCCTTCACGAGGAAGCGAATTTTTTGCTTCACACAATGAGGAAGCATAATGTTTATGAAATAAACATAAAGGACCCCCTCCTTGTTTAAAAGATATCTTGTCACTTTTTATTTAGGGGCTGTTTTCACCCCTAAAAACCACAAATGACTTGATCTAGCAAAACTGTCAGACACGGGTATTTTTTTTGGGTCCTACACGGAGAGAAAAACCATGCGTTTTTAGTATGAAGAGGCATACGTTTAATGTATGAAACTTTCTCATACGAATACTGTATGACATTCATAGTTTCGCAGTAAGAAGTCCATACGCCAAACGTATGTAATACAAACATACTACGATTGTATGAGCTTCATACTCTCTCGGTATGATACTCATAGAACAGACTATTAAGCCACGCCCACTTTCAGTTTGCATATTTCTGAATCACCTGCCCGCTTTCAATTCTTTGCTCAGTTTTGATTTATTTAAATAATTTTTTATTATATTTCAAAGATGAAGTTAAGATGAATATGCTTTTTCTCTCCGTGTAGTTTCCAAAAATGTTGTATTTTTTTGTGGGTCAAAAAAAAAGTTGAATTTTGTCGGACGGTGTAATATTTGTGCACTGAAAAAAAATTTGATTCAAATATACACTCGATTATTTGACCTTGAGAAAAGATTTCTTTGATTTAAAGAAACCATCTTTTTTTTTGACTTATTTTCTTTCATTAAAAATAAAATTTTCTTTGTAACAAAAAAAGCTTCTTAGTTTAAAAGAAAATTTGTGCATTAAATCAAAGAAATTCTAATATTAATATAGGATCAAAGAAACATTTATTTGAATTACAGAAAAAATTTATTTAAAACAAATATAACTTTTTTTGAATCAAAGAAAAATTTGTCAAAGAAATTGAAAAAAGAAATCTTTTTTCTGGGTGTAACGATTAAATTATTCTCAAATTAAGAGGAAAAGTTCCTTAGATAAAAAAATTCCTCTCAATAGAAGAAGAATTTTTTTTTCCTGACTACATAATAAAATTTCAATGAAAACACAAACACACAGACACTTGTTAGAAACTGATTGAACACATATTTGAATAGACAGAGGACATTAATGAAATTAGTTGCAGGTTTAACTGTCACTAGTTGCTGTCAATATAACGATAGCGGTATAAGTAGAGGTCGATTGAACCTCTTTGAGAGTGAGTACCAAAGACACGCTTGTGGGGTAGGTCGTTCAGCAGTGTCCAATGGACGGAAATAGGGGGTGCCAAGATAGTATTGAAGAGAAGTGAGTTTAATGCGCATGCGACAACACATACAAACATCTGACACGTGCGCTTGCACACGTTTACACGCTCAACAATCACGTACAATTCACATTCTCATAGTGAAGATGTGGTTGCTCTTCGTTGCCTATCAGTGTTTGCTGCCGAGTTGACGGTGTGAACCCGAGACGGAAAAGGGATTAGTCGCAATCTGAACGCGGCGTTGAGCGTTTCGAGGAAAAAAGACAAATTTTCAAAATTCACATTTATTCATTTATACATTTTTTTATTCTTCTCCGTCAGTATTTTTTTTTTTCAGAGTCTCTTTTATTTTTTACATTCATTTTCGTTAATCAAGAGAATATCTAAAATTAAATACACGCTTGAAACTATTTTTAATTTTTTATTATCTCTTCTAAGTCGGCGCCACGAAGCTTGGTTCGAAAACTTGAATTCGAGTGTTTATTATTAATGCCAACGGATTCGTGAAATTTATTTGATTTTAGAAAAATTTCATTTTTTATATAAAGAATAATTTTTTTAAATAAAGAATTTATTTTTTAATTGTTAAAAAGCGAATTAGACGCTTTTGGTATTTAACGCTCAATTGGGATAATCAACACACTGAGTGAGGATGATCGAGTGATTTCACGGGAAGTGTGAGCAGAAGGAGATAGAGGAGGAGGTGGTGGAGATTGGAGCGTTTCCGTTTGTGTTCATTTCTGACTGATTTACACTTTACCGTAACCAAAAAGTGATAGCGGGTTTCGAAAAAAAAAATGATAATTAAAGTGTGAGAGTGAGAAAGTGATAAATTCTCAAGTGAAATGACAGTGTTGTGCATTTTTTGGGCGACGTTGTCGACAGTCGCGTCGATTCTTGCATGCTCTGGATTTTATCTGCCTTATTGGATTCAGGTAATTTTTCTTTTTTTTACCAAAAAAATTTGCAATTTTAATAATTAATTTTTAAAAAATACTTTTTTCAAACATTTTTTTCTCAAAAAGAAAATTTTATTCTAAGGCTAAAAGTATGGAAATTATTCTTGAAAAAAGAAATTTTTTTTCAATATTCTTGAAAATTTTTAAAAATTGTGGGGAAAAATTTACCAGAATCCTTATAGTGCGAAAAAAATGAATTATATTGTTCAGATGAAAATTGAAAACTTTTTGGCATTTTTGTGGATTTTGTTAAAAGTTCAAAATTTCAATCTAAATTTTATCTTTTTTTTCCAGTATTTCATTCTGAAATTTTCACCAAATTTAAAGCAAACGTAAAAGAAATTTTTTTTTCAAAATTAAAGGAAAATTGGAAAAAAAATTGGTTTTCGTTTTTCATAGTTTTCTTTTCGTTTTTTTTCAGAATCGAATTTCAAGTATATAAAAATTATTAATTATTCAATTTTTCAACGAATGACTCAATTTTTTTAATTAAATTTTTCATTTTTCTGACTTTAATAAACATTTTTTGAAATAATCATTAAAGCCGATTAAATTTAAACCAATTATGTCAATATCGCGAGATAGATAATTTACATCCAGAGAAATGATATTTTTATCTCAAGAGACAAAGAAATATTTATTTGATTCAAATAAATTTCATTTGGTTTAAATAAAAATTTTATTTGCATTAAATACAATTTTATTTGCGGTAAATTAAATGTTTTATTTGAAACAAAATAAAAAATTATTAGGCTTCGAGACAAATATATTTTTATTTGAATCAAATAAATGCAAATAAAATAATTTTCTTGAGAGTAGAAAATTGTAAAGGAGAGAAAATTTAAAAACTATATTTTTATTTAATTCAAATAAATTTTGTCTTAAATCCAAATAAAATATTTCTCTGAGTGTATGAACGGTTTTAATGGCAGAAAATTTATAATATTTTTTAAATAAATAAATATTTCCTTTTTTGTTTATTTATAAATCTGTATATTTTTATTTATTTCCAATTAAATTCGTATATTTAAATTTATTTTAAACTAAATTTATAAATTTTAATTTATTTTAAACTAAATTTATAAATTTTAATTTATTTTCAACTAAATTATAATTATTATTTTTTTGTATACACAATTATTAGTGCAAAAACCGAAATTTAAAAAAAATAACGTTAATGTTAAATAATCTTTTTCCAAAAAAAAAAAAAAAAAAAAATTGTATCAACTTATATAAAATTCCAGCTATATTATAAAGAATTCTTATTCAACTTGGAATATGCGGCTCTCAAAAATAGAACGGGATATTTATGAAACATCCATTCTCTCTTGTTGAGCAGATGGTGTCGCCGTATTTAAATCTTCCAAAACTGGAAAAGCGTGCGTGCCGAAAGTCTTCAACATGTGCGCCTTATTTTTATACAAGAAAACATAGTATACAATATTTACAAAATATTGTTAAACAAAATGAAACAATTTTCATTTTATGAATTTACTTATCTATTTTTAGGTGAAAAAATTTTTATCCAACTTTTGTTTTCTTTTTATTAACTTTTCGTTCAACCACCTTCTTTTTAAGAACAAAAATTGTTTATCTTTTTTTTTTTTAAATAAAATCAAAACAAAGAAAATTTTCTTTAAAATTAAAATTATTTTTGACACAAATTTTTTTTTTATAATTTAAAAAAATAAAAAAATTTTAATAAATTTTCAATATCACAAAGTGCATATTCAAATGTTTAAATTTACCTATATATGCACGTGAAATTGTTTAAGTGAGTTTTCTGTGAACGCGAATGACACATACTGGGAATGTAATTGCAGTAGTACTGCGTTGACAGTGAACGAACGGTTATTTATTTTGAAGGGAAAAAAGCTGAATTTAATCGTATAAATCGGAGTAATCGTATTCTATGAAATTTTGTTCCAAGTGACATTTGGACATTGAACAACAAATTCACATGATGCACCATATATACATTCTCAATTGGGTGCCAGTTAATTCGAATGAGACAATATTGATGAGGGGGATAAAATTGAACAAAGAATGAATTTCTGTTTATATACTTGAAAATATTGCAATTCCATACTTTCGAATAGAATTTAATTTCGAATTCACCAAATATTTATATAAGTTTGTAAACTTTTTATTTTTATATAAATTTTTTGTTAATAAATACTTTTTTTTTTTGGAACAAAAATATTTTTTTATAAAGCTGTAATAAATATTAATTAAAGAAATACATTACACGAGAATTAAATTTACCCTCCCGCGCAACAATTAGTAAATATGTTTTCATATCAATTTATAAAAACAAAAAAAAATGATAAAAATGAAATAATTTGATTGAAATTTCAGAATTAAAATAGAATATTGTTCCCCTCAAACAATCGTGTTAATTAGTATATATGCTTTTTGTGTATCTATCTATATAGTCAGGTTATATGACTGAAGTAGTCGCGAATTTGCCAATTCTACTAATGAAATTCTCCAAGTTGATGGGCTCCCATTGTGTACACACTGTACAGTAATTGTTGAGTAGTCTACAATCGACATCCGTGATCTTGATCACTTTACGATAATTGCTATTAATTACAATGTCCGTCAAATTAAGTAAAAATGACAAAATTTTTCTAAACAAATTTTTTCTTTTTAAATAATATATACAAGTTACTAAATGTTTAGAAAGAACAACTAAAATTTTGGTTGGACCAACAAAAAAAAATGTTGGTATTTAAGTAACCAAACTATTTGTTTGATTCAACCAGAAAAGGTTGAGTATTTTTTGTTGGCATAACAAAAATGTTTGGTTAGCACAATCAAATTTTTGTCGTAATCAAATTTTGGTTAGGACAACAAACGATCATTTGGTTTTTTAGACTAAACTATTTTGTTGTGTTAATCAAATTATTTTTTCATAACCAAATTTTGATTGGAATTTAAAAATGTTCAACCAAATAATTATGTTGGCCTAACTAAATGTTGAAATAACTGTTTCAGCCAATCAAAATTTGGTTACAACATTCAGAAAAAAATTCGTTTGAAGCAACCAAATTTTGGTTAAATCAACAAAATAAATGCATTGATATACAGTTAACCAAACATTTGGTTGCATAAACCAAACGTTTATTTAGCTCAATCAAATTTTTTCTTTGTACAAAAAATTTATTAAAATAAACCAAACAGTTATTTAGATCAAATAATTATTTATTTGAATTAAACAAATTTTGTTTGAACTAACCAAAAAATTGGGTAAATATAAAAAAATGGTACATTTGGTTCAAACATATCTTTTTTTTGAGTGAAGAAACAAAATTGCCTAACCAAACCAAACAAAAAAATCTTTTTTTTCAGTGTAAAAATATAATTTTTTACTTTTTAATATGAATTTCAATATATAAATTAGAAATTAACTTCTATGTTGATAAATATTTTTGCAATATTTCCATTTTATTTCATGTAATTTTCGAAATAATAAATGTGAATAAAATTTCCAAATGGTAAAGTTTATGTTAGAATAGCACCATTGGAAATTTGTGCTTGAGTTATTACTAAAGTTGACTTACCTATCACTAAATTGGCCTTGAGTAAAGTTTACTCATTTCACTCGAATGCCCCGAATCGTATAATTGATCAGTATCAAGTTGAATAAATATATAAATATATATAATATATTCGATAAAATTCGATTGTAAATTTGTAATTAATTGCAAACTGAATATTTAAGCATTAAATTAAATTCGATAAGGTTAACATAGCGATATTAATCTCATTTAAATGTCTGTAATTCGAAAATTAATGTTCTAATTTTCATTCATCAGAGACAATTCACAGTACAATTTATGATATTATATTCTGTATATATATAAATGTACGTATATTGTATATACACATATACAATAAATTGTACTGTAATTTTCCCTGAATGAAATCTGTTTTGTGAAATTACACGAAAATGGAAATTCAATTAACCTCCCTATAGTTGCACCTCTTTCAACAAAATACACGACACGCAGTGTATTTTTTCCACAAAATTTGTATTTTATGTAAACAATCGCAATTGCCAATATTATAAAGTGTAATCAAGAGTAAACAGTGGAACTAATGTTAAATTTAGGTGGGGCATTTCACGGGAAATTTTCATTCGAAATTTTTTTTTTTCCCAAAACATTAAAATTTCAAAAAATTATAACTTCCTTCATTTTTATCAAATAAAAAGATATAAAAAAAGGATTTTCTTATTTTTCATATAAATTTTGAAAAAAAAATGTTTCAGGCAAATAAGAAATTTTTTAATGAAAATTTCCCGTGGAATGCCCTAGTTACATTATTTTATGAAAACAAATAAAAAATATTTCGATCAAATAAATATTTATTTGAAACGAAAATAGTATTTAAAACTATTCATTTAGTTATTTCACTCAAATATATTTGGTTTCTTGACACAAATAAAAATTATTTGACACAATAAATTTATTTTATTGATTCAAGTAAAACAAATTATTTAATACAAGTAACGCAGTATTTAAAGCTAATAAATTATTTTATGAAAACAAAAAAAGTATTTGGATAAAAAAACTAGTTTATTTTTATAATTTATATAAACTTAATTTGTATTTAATACAAATTACTGCACCCAGTGAAATGTTTTATTTGAACCAAATATAATATATTTGAGTTAAATAAACGTATATTTGTCTCACGCCTATTTATTTGGCGTAAATAAAAATTTATTTGAATCAAATAAATATTTATTAGGCACTCAGACAAATATATCATTTCTCTGTGTGTATTTATTTGATACGATAAAATAAAATACTTAGGTCTAGTAAATATTTATTTGAATCAAATACATATTTACTGGATATAATAGAAAAGTAAATAATTTACTTGGATCAAGTGATTTTTATTTGATCCAAACTTTTTTTTCAGTGTAACAATAAAATAATAATAAACAAATAATAATGAATAAAAAA